TATATATATATATAAAAAACAGTACAGAGTAGGGATACAAGAATATGTATTATAAAAAATATATGTTGCATATATTATATATGTTAACCCATGATACATCCTAACTTTCCACATTCTAATACCTCTGAAAGTGGGATGTATCACTGTCATCTAATATTCCATAAATACTCTATGTATGGAGAGACAATGTAACAAAACAATTAAAAGCCCAGGTCCAGAGCCTGTTTCCTCATTTGTAGAAACAGAATAATAACAGTGTGTACTTCATAAGGTTCTTGAGAGCATTAAGAGATGTATTTCATGTAAAGTGCTTAATATTCTCCTGGCAGTAAAGACTAGATTTTCTTCCCACTCCAGATCCTTGATTCCTCTGCTTAGAGACAGCAGCTGTTACTGGTTTCTTTTATGATGTCTCTGTTGAGATATTTTGATAGAAAAAGCAGTAAAAAATGGAAACTGGCACATTTCTAGATTTTATTGACTTTCTTAAAAAGAACTTTGACAGATCTGAAATTTTACCCCATTTGTAAGCTAACAAGTTAACCTGCCTCAGTTTCATGGATACTGGCAGGGGGCAGCATCCTGGGTCAGTAGGCAGCATGAACTTCATGTTAGTTCCCCGACATTCATATCTAATGGTAAGGGAGGAGACCACCCCCATATTGTCTTATGCCCAATTTCTGCCTCCAAAGAAAGAAGAAGTAAAAACTAAAAGGCAGAAATGAAATCCACAAGCAGACAGCCCAGAGCCACACCCTGGTCCTGGTAGTTAAAGATCGACCCCTGACCTAGTTGGTTGTGTTATCTATAGATTACAGACATTGTATAGAAAAGCACTGTGAAAATCCCTGTCCTGTCCTGTTCTGTTCCGTTCTAATTACCGGTGCATGCAGCCCCCACCGAGTCACGTACCCTCTGCTTGCTCAATTGATCACAGCCCTCTCACATGGACCCCCTTAGAGTTGTGAGCCCTTAAAAGGGACAGGAATTGCTCACTCGGGGAGCTCAGTTGTTGGAGACGTGAGTCTTCCTGAAGCTCCCGGCTGAATAAAGCCCTTCCTTCTTTAACTCGGTGTCTTGGGGGTTTCGTCTGTGGTTTGTCCTGGTACAGCGGGAGTGATATGGAACAGCCCAGGTGAATGCTGTGCGTCACAGCTAAGGGACCTTGAGCTTGGGAAACCCTGTCTGTAAGAAAACTCACTCAGCTTTTGCCCCAGGAGAAGATATTCTCTACAAAAATAATTGAAAAGATAGTCTGAAACAAAAGCTGTTCAGCACTGCTGCTCACAAAATGTGCACAAACCTGAGACCCACAGAAATCTTTCTACCAGCCTATTTCTTCCTCCTTCCCCACTTTCTTTAACTAAAAAAGAAATTTATAAGTTAATTTCAGTGGAGAAGTAGATGGTTTTTTAACCGTCAAATACATTATAAATTCACTAGAAAAACTGTAAGCCTTATATATGTGGATATAAAGAAAAACTAATTATGTGCAAATGCAAGAATATTGGCAGTATGTTGTGTTTGACAGTAACTCTTTGATAAAGTCAACTAACAGCACAATTTTTACAAATAGGTGTAGTTTTTAAAATGCAGTTGTTTGGATTTTTTTTTAGTTATTAAATGTTTTATCCTTACGTCAGTTAAACAGGTTATAATGCTTTATAGGTTATATAGTACTTTCAGAGAAACTTGACTTAAATCTCAAAATAGTCCAATGAGAAGATAACCCTGTTTTATAGGTACAGAAATTGAGGCTTAAAAAAAATTGAGTGAGTTGTGCAAGGTTAGATGTTAGTAAGTGGCAGAATGGTAATCTAAACCCAAGTTCTCAACAACAATTATAAAAAATCTGAAAGTCTGTTTTTTCCTAGAATTTGGCTACTTTATCTTGACCCTTCTCAATCAGTAGTCTGTCTTCAATGATTTGGACTTTAAACCACTTTTAGAAATATGTCTGTGAACTCATGTGCATGTCCAGAGTTTCAAAGGTCAGCAGGAGAATGCCTCAGAATAGATTTTCCAATATGTAGCAACATGGGCCTAAAGAATAATTTTCAAGATTATCTCTATATTTTTATTTTAAATAAAAGTGCATGCCAGATCCTGGATTAATGAGAAAGGGATCAAATATTAATCCCAAATGGAAGCTATTTTAATTTAGAGATTTGGTGTTATTTAATTTGATATACAGGGAGGTTAGAAGGAGAAATAGGTTTTACAATAGAGAAAAGTTTTTCTTACACCTGATGAGTGTTTTAAGTAGGATTTTTTGGGCCAGTTAATCCATGCTAATAGGAAATTTGGAAAATAGAGAAAAATATAAAAATATAAAATAGAGTCCCTTATTTCATTAACATCGTAATAAGAGATAAGCACTTTTAATTATTTATGGCCTTCTAGTCTTTTAATCAGTGTCTGTAAATTGAGGTAATTTATGCAATTTTGCTTTTTTGTTTTATTTAACCCTGATTCCAGTTTCTATGTGATTATATTTACAAAATTTTTTTGTTAGCTATATAACGTTCTAGTGTCAGAATTATTAGTAGTTAGTTAAAATCTGCTCAGATTGGGCTTTTAGGTTGTGTTTTTGCTGCAATAAACATGATAGGAACAACATGTTTTCATGTACAGCTTTATCCTCATTTTGTACTATAGGAAAAATATCTAGGTTAGAATTGCTAAGTTAAAAAATGGACACTTGGGGCTGGGCACAGTGGCTCACGCTTGTAATCCCACCACTTTGGGAGGCTGAGGTGGGCAGATCACCTGACGTCGGGAGTTCAAGACCAGCCTGACCGGCATGGAGAAACCTCGTCTCTACTAAAAATACAAAAAATTATCCAGGCATAGTGAGTGGCACATGCCTGTAATCCCAGCTACTTGGGAGGCTGAGGTAGAAGAATCGCTGGAACCCGGGAGGCGGAGGTTGCAGTGAGCTGAGATCATGCCATTGAAGTCCAGCCTGGGCAACAAGAGCGAAATTCTGTCTCTAAAAAAAAAAAAAAAGAAAAGAAAAAAGACACGTATTTATGCTTTCCATATTTCATGGTAATTTGCTTTCTAAAAGGCTATATGAATTTTTAAGTGTGCTTGTTTCTCTATATGTTCAACAGAATGGAGTGCTATCTTTACCAAGCTTGGTAGAGCTGGTAGTTTGATAGCTAGTAATGTTATTTTAAATTGCATGCTTTTAGTTACTAGTAAGCAATTTGAATTCTGTGAAACTTGTTCATGATCTTTACTCATTTTTTTCATTTTTTAAATGCATTTATGATCTCTTCAGGCTATTAGCCTCTTGTCATCAAACGTGCAAGATTTAAGACTCATCAGTGTAGGGTTAACAGATGAGTTCTCAGAGGCAGAGGCTTTATAGAGAATAGAAGATAGGAGTGTGAACTGAGCCCTGAGGACAACCTGCAAGGAGTGGATAAAAAGCCAATAAACAGAAAATTTTAGTGTTCAGAAATTAAAGAGAAGATTGAATACTTTCCCTCCTCTTAAAATTAATCCTTCCTTTATTATAAATATACAGTCTTTTCTCTCAGGATTTAGTTCAGTAACTCACTGATGCTACTCAAAAATTGTTATTAGATTAAAAAAATTTTCTGAGCTAAGATGACAGTGACTGTCTTCTAAATTTTAGTTTCAGTTAATTTTTCAAAACAAAACCAACACAATCGAAGCCCCCTTGTGCACCTCTCTCTGACTGCATCCCTGCCTGCCTCCCAATTATCCTGAAATTGATATTTATCACTCCCATCTTTTGTACCTGTCTCACATCGTGTACCTTAGTCTTTTCTTAATTAAAGCAGATGTTCCATGTACACTTAATTTATTAATATTTCTTCAACTGAAATACCATTTGGACCTAGGGAAAAGTTAAATATACTATTGTGTTATATTACTCCATTTACTTTCTTCTATGTTTGCCTTTGAATTGTCCAACTCTTTGCTAGTTCCATGCTTGGTTTAACCCAGCGTTCTGCCGTCTGTGGTTAGCAGAACTCAGAAATTGGAGGAATCCAGAACAGTAGTTGAAATACTTGGGGTGGGGGACAGGGTAGGAGTGGAGGGTAGGAGCAGGAGGGCCAAGAGAAATGAAATGCAGCTGAGAGAATAATCAGATTCCTTCCAAAGCAACTGAACATTGTCAGTCTGCATAGCATCATAAATAGTTTTCTAAAACTACTGTTCTTCCCCCGACCCCCGCCCCCGCAGATGGAGCCTTGCTTTGTTGCTCAGGCTGGAGTGCGGTGGTGTGATCTCGGCTCACTGCAACCTCTGCCTCCCGGGTTCAGGCGATTCTCCTGCCTCAGCTTCCTGAGTAGCTGGGACTACCAGTGTGTGCCACCATGCCCAGCTAATTTTTGTGTTTTTAGTGGAGACGGGGTTTTACCATGTTGGCCAGGATGGTCTCGATCTCTTGACCTCATGATCCGCTTGCCTTAGCCTCCCAAAGTGCTGGGATCACGGGCATGAGCCACTGCACCCGGCTAGAAACTATTTTTTACGGCTGGAGTTTCAGAACTAATTTAGTAAAGGATTGAAAAGGAGGATACAGTTGACTCATTTGTACAGAGTATATGACTCATTTGTACAGAATGAAAACATGTTTATGAACATGTTTCACACTAAGTGAAAGCTGGCATCCAACTTGATTCAGACAAAAGTGAAAGTCAAGAAGTTAATAGTACATTAATTCACCAAATGCATGCCAGCAGAGCATGGCAGGAAGGTACACAACTCAGCAGATCTGGGTTGTCCTGGTTCTCCTGTTGACTCGTGTGTGTGATGTTAGGCGGGTGAATCTTGCCTTTGAATCTCCATTTGTAAAATACCTCTCCTGAAACAGAGATGGGTAGGGTAGTATACCATATTTCTTAAGATCTTTTATAAGTTGATTCCATTGTTTTAAATTATGAATCCTAAAGTATTTCTTTATGAAAAAATTTGTAAGGCTGTGATTTACTAAACTTCCTTAAAATTTTAAATTTTAGGGAAGACATGTAAGGAATTTACATAAGACAGCTATGCAAAATGGAGCTGGAGGAGCTTTATTTGTGGTAAGTAATTACTTACATTTCTTTGGAAAGAAAAGACTTGGAAATTTGGGTAAATCCATTGTAAAAATCCAAAATATCTTAAATACCGTTGTTTAAAATTGTGGGAATTTACATATAGCTAATTGAATTTACTACATTTCAAAAGACGTGTAGTTCCAGTTGAACCTCATGAATTTAAATTAGTACCAGGAAAACTCTGGGAATAAGAATTTACTTCCAGTGAAATTACTGTGTGAGCCCTAACCTGATTCTCATCACACTTTGTGTTCTCAGTCATGTTGGCTTACTGAGGGTTTGAAGATTGTAACTTGTTGAATCCCAAAATGACACTAGTTTGAAACTTACGGGTTTTAGTAATGTAGTAACTAGATTAGCAGCTGGTCTTTATATTTTTAGTTTCCGGAGTTTTAACTATAGATAGAAGTCTGTGAACTCCCCAGATTAGTTGCACAATTTGGAAAGGATAAGATACTGTATCTCCCTTTTCTGACAAGGTGCAGTTTTCAGGGATTACTCTTGTTTTAGTAAAGGCAATATAGTGGACTTGTGTGATGATTTAGAGTTAGTGGTGTAAGAAGTAGCTTCCTGCTACATATCAATCATCAAATTGGCCACATATTTGAGATCATTGTCTAGAGTTTCTGTTTTCTTTCCTCTTTTGGTTTATGTCCTTTAAAAAGCAGAACTCTGAGAGTTAACATATCAAGAGATTCATTTCTGTATTCACCACACATACATAACATTAATTGATCGTAAGTGTTAATCTCAGTGTGACTCATTTGATTTCCTGTTGACATGCCATTTCTTGTCCGTTTTTGAAGAGGGCCTGCGTCTGCTCTTTTAAGAAGAAATAAAGCTTCTTGCTGTTGGCTATTATGGAAAACGTGGGAAAGAGATGGTGCTTTTTTTTCTTTTTTCTTTTGAGATGGTCCTTTTGTACCCTCCTAAAGTGATGGGTCTTAACCCTTTTGGATCCCAGATCCCTTTGACAATCTGCTACCCTCTCTTTTGGGAAAATACACATGTTCACATTTAAAATTTTGTGTTTTAATTTCATAAAGGCTTCCAATAATTGGTAATGTTTTGGTAATTCTATCAGAAGATCTTATTCTCTAATGAAGCTGGATAACACTTTTTGTTGTTTGGGTTTTTTGTTCCTAAAGGTACTTCTCTTATTCTTTAAATGGTCCTTTGTAAAATTTTAAATTTTAACTTTACTTTGGTAATCATACTCATCAAATGTGTGTTTAGTCATTCTTTTTGATGGAAGGATAGGGTGCTATATATCATGTTGGAATTAAAATGGAGAGATTAAACAATAAGTAATAGTATAGTAATGTACAGTGTTATTCACACTTGAGAGAATTCGGATAATTCTGGAAAACTTTTTTTGTTGTGTAGCACAGAGATACTCCTGAAAATAACCCTGATACTCCATTTGATTTCACACCAGAAAACTATAAGGTATGGCTAAATTAACATTATAATTAATGTACCAAATAGGTAATATTTTCTAGATGTAGAAAATGATGTTCTTTCTTTTACACAGAGGATAGAGGCAATAGTAAAAAACTATCCAGAAGGCCATAAAGCAGCAGCTGTTCTTCCAGTCCTGGATTTAGCCCAAAGGCAGAATGGGTGGTTGCCCATCTCTGCTATGAACAAGGTACTGGATTCATTTTTGCCTTAGTTCCAAAAGAGAAGAGATTGTGTATGATAATTTCCTTTTATAGAAATTGCTCTGATCATCTCCAGTGTCAGAATCTAGGATTTTGGAGCCCTTTAGCCATTTGTATGTTTCCTTGAATTGTCTTTGTGTTTTTGTTCGTTCCCTTAATGCATAGAGGTGATTTCTAACCTTGCAGGAAATAGGGAAGGCATTATGATATAAGAGGGTATATGTGCTTTTTTTTTCTTTTGAAGGAAATGGTCATAGGAAAGATAAAAGATTCCAAATGTGTATAACTTAGTACCAAGATATTCTGAAAATTAATGTAATATTTAAACACTAGAATCACAGAAAAAAAGATCTGCTCAACAGTCTGAAGATTTTTAATATTTTACATCTTTGGCTGTAGGCTGTAAGAAAAATCTGTATAATATGTGATGTTTATACAGTTTATGCTACTTTGGAATCGACCTATAGAAATGCTATGGATGACCCATTTTATACGAAGTTACTCTATTCATGTAAGATTCATTTTTTCTAATAGTTTTCAGCAGTAATCCAAATTTCAAGTTTATTCATATCCTGTTAATATAAATAACTACATTTGTATGGTGATGTATTATAGCATATCATTTGTAAAGTGCCATACACAAAGTTTGATTCTGATGAGAGTCACACAACTATTAAAACCATGTTATATAATGGAAAGTATTTTTGACTTAGAACTAAGACACCTGATTTTTCTCTGAACTTCCTCATTGGCAATGAAAGTTTTGAACTAGGTAGATCTCTTCCAATTATTACGTTACGATTTTATTTTATTTTATTTTATTTTTTCAGTTGGAGTCTCGCTCTGTCGTCCAGGCTGGAGTGCAGTGGAGTGATCTTGGCTCACTGCAGTCACTACCTCCCGGGTTCACGCCATTCTGCCTCAGCCTCCTGAGTAACTGGGACTACAGGCACCCACCACCACACCCGGCTAATTTTTTGTATTTTTAGTAGAGACGGGGTTTCACACTGTTAGCCAGGATGGTCTCGATCTCCTGACCTTGTGATCCGCCTGCCTTGGCCTCCCAAAGTGCTGCTGGGATTACAGGCATGAGCCACTGTGCCCGGCCTATTATGTTACAATTTCTAAGCGGTAGTACTAGGACTAAATTCATTTCTAAATCAATGCATTTTCTACTTGACCGACTATAATAGAGATTTTGTTGTACTTCATTCTTACCACTTTCTAAACTTTATTTTGTTATAACTGTTAGGCTAGACTATCATCTTTCTAATAGAATAGGAATATCCTCAATTTATCCTCTAGGATCCTAAATGCAAATTTTAGATTTAGTTTATTGATCTTTTATTGCATTGTATAGTATTATAACACTGTGTGGATCCTTGCTATTTTTTCCCTATGAAAAATGTTATAAAGCAAGTTTAGTGAGTTACTATCCTGACTAAACATAGGTGGTTATTTTTTCAATAAATTATATATTTCTTGAGAAGTTACTTAACATTTTTTAAAAATTAAAATAGCCAACTTTATAATGATTTAGGTATATGTTTCTAATTATAATTTTATTATTATTTTGAAAATATCATGTTTTTAATAATGATAAGCCTGTTGGAAATCTTGCTGAGTGTCACGTTAGCAGAGCAAACTAAAAATAAATAAGAAACTGAAAGTGAAAACATTAAAAAAATAAGACAGGCACGGTGGTGCATGCCTGTAGTCCCAGGTACTCAGGATGCTGATGTGGGAGGATTGCTTGAGCTCAGGAGTTTAAGACCAGCCTGGGCAAGATGGTGAGACCCTATCTCTTAAAAATATGTATTTATGTATTGTCCTATTATATTTAGGGTTGGATTTGTGTGGGCGAAAGGCAGGAAGTTTAGGGTATAGGGAATAGACTCAAGATTCTTTGCACTTTACATTTGGGACTTTTATTTTAATGTTACTGCCCCTCCCCCAACCCATGAAACACCCAACCTTACAACAAAAAATATCCAGAAGCTTAATATTGAACCATCACTAAGGTGTAGGGAGATGTGCAGAATTCCAGGAAGGAGCCTTTTCAAATTAGCCAGGGTCTCATTCCAGATTTATTAAATTATTCCTTTGGTAGGGTTCCAGCATGTATATTTTGATAGAGAGCTCCACAGATTTGGGAATACATCCTTGATTTAGAACTGCCGAATGAAATAGCACAACTACTTTATCTGTCACAAGTGAGCCATGATTAGACGTCTTTTGAGAATACATTTCCTTTAGAATTCCTAGTATGAGAAAGTTCAACATACTTGTCTGAAATGCCCACTCTTCTTTTTTATCAGAATATGGATATATGTATAATTTCTAAGAATACCAGATAGTAAGTCTTAATAGGTCACCTAGAAAGTTGTAGACAGAATTATAAATTACGATAGACAAGGACTGGCCCTGGCAAACAGCTAGAAAGCCTTGTTTTCCCTAACAGACTTGCCCTAAGAAAAGCATGCTGAGTTGGTGATCCCCTTAGTTCTGAACACCAGAATGTCAAAACAATTGTTTTCTATTAATGTCTTGATGTGAAGGGTTAGAAAGTACTAGATTATATGATCCAACTTTCAAAAGAGTATTGTGATATGAAATAGAAGTAGTGTTTTGGATTATTGTGGGAGAAGAGTGTGTGATTGTGTAAGTATGATAATATGTGTATACATATATGCAGAGTTATAAAATTTTGAGTTTACATACTTAAAATATGGGCCAATTAGTGAGCTTTGATTTTCAACCTTTTTTTCTGTTGCTGTACCATTTGTAAGTAGGCTTTTTGGAAAAAAATTGGTGAGGGTTTTAAAAATCTAATTGCTTCCTTTATTGGGGTTTGGCAGTCAATTTTTTGCCATTTAGACAGATTACAAAATGTGAGTTTTGATCAAAGTAGAAATTCTTAATAGTGAAAGACTTAAAGATTTAGAGAAAAAGAATATCCTTTTACAGAGGTGAAGGGTAGAAGGAGGAAGTTCTGTTAACTCCATTAACTTTTGGGCTCTGTATGGTTTAAGTGTAAGTACATTGTCTGCAAAAATTGAAGAGTTTATATCTCCCAGTTATCCAAGACAAGTATGTTTTCTGCTCTTGAAGAACTTTTCTGTTTTTACCAAATTGAGCCAATATTGAAATTATACTTTGTACAACATAATTAAAGCTCCATTACTAACATTGTAATTATCTTATTTTTAAATGTCCTAATATTTTAGGTTGCAGAAGTTTTACAAGTACCTCCAATGAGAGTATATGAAGTAGCCACTTTTTATACAATGTATAATCGAAAGCCAGTTGGAAAGTATCACATTCAGGTCTGCACTACTACGCCCTGCATGCTTCGAAACTCTGACAGCATACTGGAGGCCATTCAGAAAAAGCTTGGTAGGGAATACATGATATTTGTAACACTGATAAAAAATGAATTGTCTCTCTAGATTTGATACATTTCCATCTAAAATTTCCAACTTGTGCCATCTTACTGGATCTGTGTTTCCACATCTTTATTTCTTCCTATTTGGTATTCTTCCTTGGTTCTTAAAGCTGAGTTTTTAATCTTTTCATTTTTAATCAGTGTGTTTGAAATGCTTCTACAAGTTATAAAATATTCGTTGTTTAGAAGATTGTTTCACTTAGAAAATTGTTTCACTTATTATTCTGTGACAGCATGTGGTATATTGAAAAGCGACCCATTATTGTCCTCATATTCTTCTAAAGAAGTCATGGAACAAATAAGATATAAGCATAGTAAGAATGCTTTGGGAAGGGAAATTTGAAACAGATGTTATTATAGTAGCATTTTAAAAGTAAACGGGCACTTTCCCCTAGAAAACTGCTATTGCTACACTTCTAACTATATATGTCAAATTAAGTACTATTTTGTTATTGAATATAAAGTACGTGCATGTTGTAAAAATAGCTGGGTGGTATTGAAATATATAAAACAGAAAGCTGAAGTTGGCTCAAAATCCCCACCCTCAAAACCATCAAGGTATAAATCCTGATAACAATTGGATATATTAGTTGTAGATTTTATATCATTTTAATTATTAAATATATAAATGTACTATATGTATGCTTGCTTTTTAGACTTTATTTTGGCTGTATTTCTACAGCACAATATATATGTCTGCCTCATTTTTTTTTTCTTTTTTTTTTTGAGTTGAGGTCTCACTTTGTCACCAGACTGGAATGCAGTGGCTCAATCATGGCTCACTGCAGCCTCCAATTACCATAAATATCCAGGTTTTAAAAAAATTCTTTAAACATTTTTGCATTTAAAAGATCAAGTGATCTTTTACCTCACCCTTCTAAGTAGCTGGAGCTATGGGTGCATGCTGCCAAGCCCAGCTAATTGATTTTTGTTTTTGTAGAGAGGGGTCTTTTATGTTGCCCAGGCTGGTTGTGAAATCCTGGCCTCAGGCAGTCCTCCCACCTTGGCCTCCCAACTGCTGGGATCACAGGTGTGAGCCACCGTGCTTGGCCTGCCTCATTTTTCCGTTACAATTACTTTGATGTACACACATCTTTGCATACTTGTCCTGTTGTATACTGAGATTGTTTACAAGAAGTAGAATTGTAGGGTCAGACTTTGCTGTATTTTTCCCAAATGCCTTCCATAAATGTATGAGACTATCCATTTTCTTCACATCCCTTAATAATCTTTGACGTTAGAAGTTTTCTGAGTCTTTACCAAATCTGATAATGTGACTGTGATTTTAGTAGTTTAATTATTGCAATCAAAATGAAAATAATACAGCCTGATGCACTTCTGTATAACAACAAACACTGTGTCCTCTGAAATATGATTGCTTTTAAAGGAACAAGTCCACTAAAAACTTCCTTGAATGTTAAAATTACATAAAGTTTTTTTTGTTTGTTTGTTTGTTTGTTTGTTTTGAGAGAGTCTTGCTCTGTCACCCAGGCTGGAGTACTGTAGCACAATCATGACTCACTGCAGCCTCAACCTCCTGGGCTCAAGCAATCCTCCTGCCTCAGCTGCTTGAGTAGCTGGGACTACAGACCAGCTACTAATTTTTAATTTTTTTGTAGAGCTGGGTCTCCCTATGTTGCCCAGACTGGTCTCAAATTCCTGGGCTCAAGCCATCCTCCCACCACCGCGTCCCAAAGTGCTGGGATTATAGGCTTGAGCCACTCACTGCATTTGGCCTAGGAGTTTTTTCTTTTTAAAAAACTTTTTTTTTTTTTTTTTTTTTTAAGTGGGGGAGATGGAGTCTTGCTTTGACTCCCAGGCTGGAGTGCAGTGGCGGGATCTCGGCTCACTGCAAGCTCCGCCTCCCGGGTTCACGCCATTCTCCTGCCTCAGCCTCCCAAGTAGCTGGGACTACAGGCGCCCACCACTGTGCCCGGCTAGTTTTTTGTATTTTTAGTAGAGACGGGGTTTCACCATGTTAGCCAGATGGTCTCGATCTCCTGACCTCGTGATCCGCCTGCCTCGGCCTCCCAAAGTGCTGGAATTACAGGCGTGAGCCACTGTGCCTGGCCTCTTTTTTAAAAACTTAATAGTCTTAAACTTTTAATTTACCTCTGTAAAAATTGTTTTTTTTTTTTTTAACCAAATCACTATTAAAATATAACCTGGTCCTTAGAGTGTTTGTTTCTATTTTTAGGAATAAAGGTTGGGGAGACGACACCTGACAAACTTTTCACTCTTATAGAAGTGGAATGTTTAGGGGCCTGTGTGAACGCACCAATGGTTCAAATAAATGACAATTACTACGTGAGTATTTCATGTATAAGTTAAAGTTGTATGATTCATATTTGAAATATTTTAAATATTTGATCTTGTGTCCTTAGATGTTGGTTTCTGAATTATTCATTTAGAAGAAATGGTTACCAGAAATATCCAGGTTTAAAACAATTTTTTAAACATTTTTGCATTTAACTTCAGAAGACAAATTTTAAAACTTTATGAAAAATTTAATAATTTGAATATAAGTACAGAAAATAATCCTTGTGTAGCCAACCATCAGGACTTAACTAAGAGTAATATTTTGCCACATTTTACTTCAGATATTATTATCATCATTTGTAGAAATAAGCTACAGATACAGGTGAAATACTCCATCCCAACTCTTTTTCTCTTCCTTTTATCCCAGAGATATCTTTTATCATTATCATAAATTGTGTCTATATATGTATGCAGCCATACTAATACATTATATGGCTTTTAAAAAAATTTTTATAGAGATGGTATCATACCTCTGAATACTGTAGTTGGATCTCACAAGTTTTGCAGTCTTTTTTGTTTTTGATTGTTTCTATATTTTTAAGTTTTTCATTTTGATTCCTTTGACCTGTAAGTTTCTAAAAATGTTCTTAATATCCATATATATGGCATTTTCTAGTTATTTCTTTAAAAATTGCTTGCTACCCTAATTATATCACCATTTTAATTCAAGATACCTTGTTAGCTCATATTTCTTAGAAATTTGTTTATGGAAATTTTGGAGGGACTGTACTTAAGGTAGATTTTCTTTAAGAAGGGATTTGCTTTCTCTCTTGCTCCTGGCACTACTGCTGGCCCCAGAAAAGCCCCTCTCCTCATACCCTAGGCCTCTGTTCCTCTGGTGTGAAAGGTTCCAGACTAGCAGTTTTCTTTGAGGGATAGTTTACCCTTATACTGAGGTTAAAGCTTTTGGGGACCTTAACTTGTGTAGCTTATATGGTCTTCTGTTAGACTCTCTGGGGCTGGCTGGGTCCCTTGCCCCTTGCCCCTCTAAGCTTTGAAACCCTGAAGCCAAGTTTGCTTGATGTTCCACTTTTTTTCTTTGGTTTTCCTTGAGAATTTGGCCTCTGGGTACTTATTTCTTGATTTAAATAGGAATTAGACAATCAAGGCTTTGTGTGAAGCATTGTTAAGTCTAAATATAGTAGCCTGTAGACGGATTTGTCTGAGATAGATATTCTTTCAGTTAGCAGTAGTTAGATCTTTAGAAATAGATATTAGGCATCTAGTTAACAAGTTACTACAGCTACTTTGTACCTTACTGTTTCTTCAAGAATACAGCATTTATTTAGTATGTACCTTGACATTGTTCTACTTTATATATTTTCTCATTAATCCTCAAAAACATGCTGAATTAGGTTTACAAATAAACTTGAGGAGGCTGGGTAACTTGTCCAAGATTACTAGCTAGTAAGTGATAGAGCCAGAACTCAAATGCAAATATGTTTCAATTCAAAGCAATATTCTGTATTGCCTCTTCAGCTGCAGCTCTTGTTGCATATTATATTTAGCAGTGTGTACTATATATAGGAGTTACTTAATTGTTGATGCCTTGGTAACTATCTTGTGAGCTGAGACAGACAATAAAATAACTGGCATTAGGGATTTACAGATTTCAGCAGTAGAAAGTAATTTTGTGCCAGGCGTGGTAGTTCATGCCTATAATCCCAGCACTTTGGGAGGCTGAGGCAGGAGGATTGCATAAGCCCAGGAGTTGGAGACCAGCCTGGGCAACATAGTGAGACCTTGTCTCTATAAATATATTGATATAAAAGAAAGTAATTTCAATATGACTATTGTTAATTTTTTTCCAGGAGGATTTGACACCTAAGGATATTGAAGAAATTATTGATGAGCTCAAGGCTGGCAAAATCCCAAAACCTGGGCCAAGGTATGCTTTATTTATATATAAGAAGTTTTAGTGGCTCACCTAAATTAATCTTTCACATAAACTTAATTTAAAAAATTTTATACCTTAAGTTCATAGGAATTGGCAGGAGCTTTGGATAGTATTATCTGTATGAATGTCATCTACAGCAAGAATTTTTTTTTTCTAAAACCGTGTCTGATAATCATCTGATACCTATCTGAATATTTATAGAGAAGGAAATTTTACTGCAAATAGAAATCTATTCCATTATTTAGAAGTTCATACTGATAGAAGATTGACCCAAATACTATCTCCTTCTTAATTTCTACCTCAAAATCCATTTCTGCCCTTTGAATCAACAAAAGGTAATTTTAGTACCTCTTCCAAATGACAGCTCTTCAGTTATTTGACATAGCTACCCTGTCTTCCCCGTATCTTTTTCTTAGATGGAATATCCACAATTGTTTCATTGTTTTTCTCATATGACATAGCTTTGGTCTCCCTCCTCTGTGGGTTTTCTAGTTGGCTAGTGACTTTAATGCTTTAATGTGATGCTTAATCATGTTTTTTTAAAAAATATTTTGAGACAGTGTCTCACTCTGTCACCCAGTCTGGAGTACAATGGCGCAGTGGCACCATCTCGGCTCACTGCAAGCTCTGCCTCCCAGGTAGAAGCGATTCCCCTGCCTCAGGCTCCTGAGTAGCTGTTGATTACAGGCACCTGCCACCACATCCGGCTTTTTTTTTGTATTTTTAGTAGAGATGGGGTTTCACCGTATTAGCCAGGTCTCCGATCTCCTGACCTCATGATCTGCCCACTTTGGCCTCCCAAAGTGCTGGGATTACAGACGTGAGCCACCACGCCCAGCCTAATCATGGTATTTTGAGATACATACTGAGCAGCACAGAGCATTATGGGACTGCCTCCTTTGTTCCAGACATTATGCTTGTAATAATTCTGCCTAATTACATCAACTCCTACTTCACAGACATTATGCAATTAACTGCACTTCATAATACATAGATCTTTTTCTATTCAGTTTATCCAGGTTGCTCCTATCCCATACTTGTGTTATATTAATTACTTTCCTTTCAGTTATGAACTTGAACTTTTACTTTTAAACAAACCCTTATTCCATATGTAAGTGTTAAATCACTCAAAATTCTCTCAATACTAGCAAATGTTTGCATGGTTTTAGTCATAATCCCTCAAATTTTTTGTGTTTATATATATAAATTTTTTCTTCCCTCAGCACATTTGGAGGTTTTGATGTCCATACGGTATTCTAATGTTTTATTTATTTATTTATTTTGAGACGGAGTCTCGCTGTATGGCCCAGGGTGGAGTGCAGTGGCCGGATCTCAGCTCACTGCAAGCTCCGCCTCCCAGGTTTTTACGCCATTCTCCTGCCTCAGCCTCCCGAGTAGCCGGGACTACAGCGCCCGCCACCTCGCCCTGCTAGTTTTTTGTATTTTTTAGTAGAGACAGGGTTTCACTGTGTTAGCCAGGATGGTCTCGAACTCCTGACCTCGTGATCCGCCCATCTCGGCCTCCCAAAGTGCTGGGATTACAGGCTTGAGCCACCGCGCCCGGCTATTCTAATGTTTTAAAACAGCTGTGATGTGCTCTTGACTCCAGTTTTAAAATATTTTTCTTAAGCTTTATTATAAATAAAAATTCCCTGAAGTAGAATTACTAAGAGGGTATGAGTGGTTCTATAGTTTGCTAAAACTACTAATAATACCCTACTTAATGAGAAAATGAGGTCGATTCAGGATAACTTAAGTTTAGTAAATGTTAGCTGACCCCTGTTGACCATTACTTTCTTTTCTAAGAAACACATACTGTTTTCAACATCCTGAGCGTATAGAATTGAATTTCCTTAAGGAGTTTTGGCATTTTCTTCCTAATTCCTCACTTGCTTGGGTATACCCCCTTTTTTAGGAGGTAAATCATTTCCCTGGTGAAAAATCATTCTCCTTATGGAGGCAACTGAAGTGAAATCTTTAGTCATCTAACATTACAGTATCTTTTTAGCTAGTGCTCCTATCTCTTACTTATTCTTGCTTTAAATAGACACTCTTCCCCCACTAAAAGTACAAATTCCATAGTATTTTCCACAAGCTTCACCTGCTTTTTAGGAGTCAGGTATTTTAAAATAAATTCATGCTATTCTTAGGTTTGTACTTCAACCCATAACTTCTTTCACCTTTTGGGTACTCTAAAGAATATCTCAAGTGCAGATTTCCTTGTGAAATCCACTTGGGTTCTTTAGATGGCCCCTCTCTTCTGATTAGATGTTTTAAATTCTATAGTCATAACTTTGGTGTTGGGTTCCCCCCCCACCCCCAGATGGAGTGTTGCTCTGTCACCTCGGCTAGAGTACAGTGGTGTGATCTTGGCTCACTGCAACTTCTGCCTCCCAGGCTCAAGCGGTTCTCCTGCCTCAGTCTCTTGAGCAGCTGGAACTATAGGCACATGCCACCATGCCCAGCTAATTTTTGTATTTTTAGTAGAGACGGGGTTTTACCATGTGGGCCAGGCTGGTCTCGAACTCCTGACCTCAAGTGATTTGCCTGCCTTGGCCTCCCAAAGTGCTGGGATTACAGGCATGAGCCACCACGCCCGGCCACTTTGGTGTTTAGAATCTTCTGCTTTGCTTCTTGTGAACTGTGGGATCTATGGTTCACAACATTAATACAGTTATTACTGTCCTGCCACATAAATTGATAGTTGCTTTGTCTACTTTGTTATGTCACATTACATTACATACTCAACAGTCTTTTTTTTCACAAACTTTTTTTGAGTGCCTGCTGTGTGTGTCAGGCATTATTTTAGGTTGCGCACACAATTATGAACAAAATAAAGTTCTCATCTTCTAGTGATGGAAACAGATGACTAGTGTAATAATGTGAGTGATAAAAAGGCTACACAATAAAATGAAGCAGAGTTAGGGGATAGATTGGGAGTAAATTTAGTGAGGAGAGGCCTCTTAGAGGTGGTAACATTTGAGCCATGAACTGAATGAAGAGCTAGAGGGAACCATGTGAAGTGGAAGGAACAGTGTTCCAGGCAGGGGAAAGAGGATGTATCAAAGTCCTGGAAGAAAAGTAAGGTGACAGTGTGACTGTAGTGAGGTGCTCAAGAAAGAAAGCAGTGGAAGGGGTCAGAGGAGATCAGGCCCAGATCAGTAATCTGGGCTGAATCTTAAATATAATAATAACTGTTGTTGGAATGTTTTCAGTAGGGAATGGAATGAGCAATCTTAAAAAATATTGTCATAGTTGCTATGTGGAGATTAGAATTTAGTAGATGTGTGGGACTAAGGATTTATGACTGATTTCCAGCTTTTTGGCTTGAGCATCTCTGAGGTTCCTTTACCGAAAATGGAGATTTGTGGTAGGGCAAGTTTGGGGAAGAAAAGTCAAATTTTGTTTTAGACATAAGTTTGAGATGCCTGCTAGACATCCATGGTGTGGTGCTGATAGGTAGATATGAACCTGGAATAGGTTAGGGCTGGAAATGCAAATTGGGGATTCATCAGTTATTAAGGGTAGTATTTAAAGTTATAAATCCGGATGACATTGGGGTGAAATTAAAATCTGTTATTTGTAATATGAGGTACTATAACATTGTATTTTAACAATAAGCAGGAACTAAGTACTCAGTTAAGCATTTTCAACATCATCTGATAATAATAGGGATGTTGTTTATCAGTAATCATGAATAGTTTTTCACTGAGATTTTCTTGATAGTGTTCTGGATTTGAACCAGATACTTTAAAATTATTAGTGTCTGAATCTACTTTTTTTACTTACTACCTCATTTAAAAAGCAGACAAAAGTCTACGTAGGTTTCAATAATTGCAAGCATCCACCAATGCTGTATTATATAAAGCTTTTATTTGGACATAGCAATACTAGAATGTCTTGTCAGCATATGAAAACAAGAACTTTTCACTTTACTTACCCAATATCTCGGATATATAGGATAATGACAGAGACTGGGATAGCAATAACCATAATACAGTTATAGTTAACTCTTTAACCAAAGCTGTCTGATCCGTTTTTATTGGTATTTTAATAATAAATATCTCTGCTCTTTGAAAGAAGTACTAGTGGTGAGTCTCTGTAATGAAAAACAGAGAGGAATTAAACTGCTTCAATAGTAACTGATCCCTGAGTACCACTGCCAGGTCTTATCCTGGCCAAAATTAGTGAAAGATTGATGTCTATATGTGGTTCAAAACTGCTTTTGTATTATCGTTGGTGAATGACCACTGAAAATATTAAAGCAGTGGTAAGATAGTACAGTTGACTCTTGAACACTATGGACATTAGGGACATTGATTGGTTATGCAATTGAAGATCTATGTGTAACTTTTGACTCCTCCAAAACTTTACTGATAGCCTGCAGTTGTCCAGAGGCCTTACGAGTAACATAGCACATATTTTGCATGTTGTATTATATATTGACTGTATTCTTACCATAATCTAGAAAAAGTAAAATGTTATTAAAATCATAATGAAAATATATTTACTCTTCATTAAGTGCATCATAATACAAGTCTTCGTCCTCATTTCCATGTTGTATAGGCTGAGGAAGAGGAGGGGTTGGCCTTGCTGTCTCAGAGGTGGCAGAGGCTGAAGAAAATCCATGTATAAGTGAACCTATGCAGTTCAAAACTGTTGTTCAAGGGTCAGCTGTACTCTCTTAAACTTGACATTACTAAATATGTTTGTGCTGAGATTGTTCTTATTTTCAGTGAATTTAAAGTACTGAAAAATTCTAAACTTGTTTTCAGGTTACTAATAGGTAGAAAGTTTTTAGCGTGGATTAGTTTATAACTCATTTTAAATCCAATTTTAATTCTGCATATTTAGTTTATAAAGACATTTTAAATTTTGCATAATTCCATGGGGTGCAGGTAATATCTGAGATGTAAAAAATATAGAGCCAGGCTATAGTTCCAGTGTGGTTGGTAGATGACTCTAGACAATAGCATCACTTTTGGTTTTTTATACTAAAAGTAGGGACAGTGCTGGATATAGCTCAGCAATAGTAAAAAGATAAGCACTAAACTTTCATAAAGTGATTTGTGTATACAAACTAAGCCATGAAAGTTTACAGAAAGGCCAAGTTTTCTAGAATGCAAATGAGTTAAAATGGTACACATACGTATAGTGTTGAAATGACTGACGAACCATACTTTTTGAATTTTAGTGAAGACAAGGTAATTATCAGATGGCATTTTAAGCATGAGATATCAGGAAAATCATTTTTTGTTTAGTAAGTGAAAAACACTAGTGTAAATTGTGGCTGTCAGGTGAGTGGATAGGGCTAGCTCACTGCCTCTTGAGTGTTCTGAAGCATGTTTACAGATGAAAAGGGGGGGTACATTTTTAGTAGATTAAACAAAATGATAGGCTTTATTGGAGGATTTTGTAGCCTTTGTAGTATTTTAAGGTATACTGTGTGAATGGCAAGGAAGGGAGGTTTACAGCCAGACATACTGGATCACTGGAACTCCCGTTTTTCTAGACAATGCCATGGGATTGTAATTTTATGGAACAAACTTTAGGAAACGACCAAATTATTTTTAAAGGTACTTCCGGCCGGGCGTGATGGCTCACGCTGTAATCCCAGCACTTTGGGAAGCCGAGGCGGGCGGATCATGAGGTCAGGAGATCGAGATCATCCTGGCTAACATGGTGAAACCCCGTCTCTACTAAAAATACAAAAAATTACCTGGGCGTGGTGGCAGGAGCCTGTAGTCCCAGCTATTCGGGAGGCTGAGGCAGGAGAATGGCGTAAACCCGGGAGGTGGTGCTTGCAGTGAGCCGAGATCGCACCACTGCACTCCAGCCTGGGTGACAGAGCAAGACTCCATCTCAAAAAAATAAATAAATAAAATAAAATTACTTCCATATATAAAATTGTATAATCCTGTGAAGAACTCAGGAAGTACTTACGATTAATTCTCCCATTTATTGTTCTGGAAACTTCAGTTTTTATAATCTTCCTAAATTGATCCTTTGTGTTGAAAAACTGTGTCGATATTAAGGAGCTTATTAATTTTAGAAGATCCGTATCTATCCAAACTGGTAAGACACTTTAAGATACCCAATGCTCAGCTTTCAGAAGACGCCTAAAATGAAACTTTCAAATCCTATTCCATTCTGACATTTGATCAAGAGAAAAGTTTTAGGCAGAAAAGAAAACAGGTAGCTGAGCTTAAACCATAAGAAGAAACCTAGTAAAGGTGAATAAAGTTTCTCCAAAATAATTTCATTGGCATTTAAAGAGCAGCAGTGGTGCCTATCAATAGATAACAAAAAATGACAGGCCGGGCACAGTGGCTCACCTGTAATCCCAGCACTTTGGGAGGCTGAGGTGGGCAGATTGTTTGAGCCAACAAATTCACGACCCGCCTGGGCAACATGAAGTCTCGTCTCTACGAAAAATACACAAATCAGCCAGGCATGGTGACGCACACCTGTAATCCCAGCTACTCGGGAGGCTCAGGTGACAGAAATCACCTGAGCCTGGAAGGTCAAGACTACAGTGAGCCTTTATTGCATCACTGCACCCTAGCCTGGGTGACAAAGTGGGATCCTGTCTCAAAAATAAATAAAATTTTAAAATTGCATAATACTGTTTTTTTTTTTTTTTTTTTTAAAGTTAAGTATCATTTTGCTGCTTACTCTACAAGTTTCAGGCTCTTACAATATACGACTGCTTTTTGATCTGTTTTTGTAGTGAACAAGACCTGTAATCCAAATATATTAACTGATTTCTGACTTTGTAGACATTGTTCATTACTTAGTAACTTGTATTATATGCTGTGATATCTTGAAAGATCTTATAAATATTATGTGGTGTCACTTTCCAGGCTCCAACAAAAAATGATTTCCTAGGGCTGTAAAGAACAGACTTAAAGGATTGATGACACAATGTGAAGGGCAAAGCCAGAGGGGGTTGAAAAGATATAAACTGAACAAGTTCTTTAGGTAAATCTGTGGCAGGAACAGGTAAATTAGCAAAGCCAGGGAATAGTGGTGGACGGGTGACATGATATGGTAAGCGCTGAGCTGGGCTCTAGAAACAGAGGTCAGACAGGGCAGAGGTGAGCAATTACCTGGGAAAGTGTGTGTGGGGTTGACAGACAGGTTCTTCTCCCTCTATGCTGCCTGTCTTCATAAATTGCTCCATCAGGACTTGTTCTTGTTTGCTTCCTTTTGTGGCTGCTGTGGCCATCCTGGTTTGGAAACTTTTTTCATAAAATTACTGCTACTAATATAGTCTTTATAATACATAAATACAAACTGATTTTGACTTCGCTGCTTCTAAGAGACATTGTCCCAAATCATATTTCCTCAAGGAATCCAGTTTCTCTCTGTTTCCAAATACAATATATAAGTGTGTATATTCCCTGTATTCACTGTGACTGTGTATCTCGATCTAAATAAAATTCAATTATAAGAAATACAGTGCTCTAGTTTATTAAAACATGGTTTTTAAAAATGTTCTCTGGGGTTGGGTATTTTTGCCATAGTTCTTTGCTTTGATTCTTGGGTAGATGCTGAATCTCCCAAATTTGGTTTCTCATCTGTAAAATAAAGTCAGTATCACTTGTCTTGTGGCATTGTAAAGATTAAATGAGCTAATGTATGCATACTGCTCAGTAAATAGGAACTATTGTTAGTGCTACTTTTGTATTTTTTATGTTTATGGTGAAGTCTGATGTTTTTCCATATTTAGGAAGAGAAGATCTTGCATCACTTGAAATGCGTGAATTAAATAATCCATGCTAGTTCTTGGGGTAAAAATAGTTACTTAACTGGGCTCTTGTGAGATAACAATTACAATTTAAGTAGCAATTTAAAAATGTTAATCATTAATAGTTTAATATTACTTTTTCATTTCAGGAGTGGACGCTTCTCTTGTGAGCCAGCTGGAGGTCTTACCTCTTTGACTGAACCACCCAAGGGACCTGGCTTTGGTGTACAAGCAGGCCTTTAATTTATATTGAACTGTAAATATGTCACTAGAGAAATAAAATATGGACTTCCAATCTACATAAACTTTTTATATTATGTTTATTCTGCTCTGTGTACATCCTCGTGGTAACCTTAGCAACTTGCAGCTCTAAGTATTATGTCATAATGACAGAGGACCATTTTAAAGTCTTCTATCTATGACTGTGAAGACATTACATAATCTAGTTAACAGTTACTCTGGTGTCACCCATTTTCAATTTCCAGATTGCTTTTATCAAGATCAGGTTACTGTGAAGTAAAAATTTGGTCAAATTTCAAATGTTTTGCTTTCCCATTTTTAGCCACAGCCAAGTTTTAAGTTAACATGATCTTTCTATAAACTTTTGTCAGTGTCCCTGTAAACATTATTGTATTTACAACACATAATGGTTACTGTATTTCCAACTGGTGAACCTCAAGTGCACTGTAGGGTTAAGGAGGATATGGTAATTGTCTCTAGTCTCTAGAAGCATTACCTTTGTTTTTTTTTTGAGACGGAGTCTGGCTGTGTCTCCCAGGCTGGAGTGCAGTGGCGCAATCTCGGCTCACTGCAAGGATTACAGGCATGAGCCACCGTGCCCAACCGAAGCATTACCATTTTTAGAAAAGAAAGGTCCAAAACACTTTTGACATTATCCTTAGCTATTCGGACACTGCAAGTACACAAAACATAACTGGGTGAAGGTATTGGAAGCATGATTATATATACTCTGCAGTGGCATGGACATGACAACTTAGAGAAAAGGATAAAACCATTTGTGTGTTAAGAAACTAGCTGTAGTACATTAGTTTTACAAATAGGATTAGCCAGCTTTAATGCATGAATAAATTTATATATATTAGATTTATCTATCCTTGATTTCTCAAAGTCACTTGTACTTGAAACAGACCATTCACTATTTATTTTTTTTTGAGACAGGCTGTGTCTCCAGGCAGGAGTACAGTGGTGTGATCATGGCTCACTGCAATACTCTGGCCTCAGAGAGGTGCCACCAACCTGGTTAATTTTCATATATTTTTTTAGAGACAGGGTCTTACTATGTTGCCCTGGCTGGTCTCAAACTCCCAGGCTCAAGCCATCTGCCCGCCTCAGCCTCCCAAATTGCTGGGATTGCAGGCGTGAGCCACCGCGTTCGGCTATAACGATTATTTTTAAGTATATCTTTAAGAATTTTTTTTTTTTTTAATTGAGAGACGGTAAACAAGAGTTAATTTTCCAAGTGGCACAAAAAAGTAATGAAAATGTCCTAGCCTGGAGCTCTCTTGACTTTCTCATAGGCGACTTTTTCTTTGTATTTCACATCATAAATAACCAAATTAAATGTAACACTATTCCACCTCTAGCCGTAAGGTGCTCTCTTTCTAGTCTTATTGACCCTAATGATTTGTAGGTGGGAGAAATCGGGAACCTAAGAACGGGAAAACTCCTGATCTTTAATGCAGGTTTATGCTTTATATAGTAATTTGATGGGACCTCGCCGTCCCTGTCAGGTCTGAATGTCATTTCATCTGCTGTGATCACATCTGAACCCTCAGTTCATCAAGACTAAAGGACAGTTTAACATAAACTTGTAACTGCATGCAGTAAGTCATAAACGGACTCTGTTGTTGCAGATTAACCTCTGCGTAAATAATACGCGCCCAGAAGGAAGTGAGCACACGGGGTTGCCACGCTGCGACGGTCAATTTTTCTCAGGCACCCTTCCCAGTACCTGAGCAGCTCCCTCTCGAATCCCCAACACTACGTGTGGGGACGTGCACTGAATTCCTCTTTAAAGAGGCCACTGGAAGGCGTGGCTGGAAGGGGACGCGCTCTAGATCCCCTGGTCCCAGGGCAGGTGGACGCTACCGCGCTTTCGGGGCGGGGCCCAGGGCTCCACCTGGGGCGGGGGGCCGCGGGCTCTGGGCGCAGGTGCAGCTTTTCCGGCCTGGTGCGGGGCCAGGCGGCCGCCGCTGGCTTAGCTGGGGAACTTCGCCTAGTCCTCGAGCTGCGGTCGCAGCGTTATTTTGCCTGAGTTGGATCACGCTCGTCCACCCATCCCGTGTAAAAATAACAGGTGTATACCCTATGTGGGGATCTTCATCGCCGCCGCCTTTTCCAGAAGCTTCCAGTCACAGCCACTGCCACGGTCGCCACAAATGCTACTGCAGAGCCCGCTTGCCCGGCAGCGTCAGCGGCGCCTGCCCTGCCTCTTCACCCAGGCTTTGATTCCCCCTCCTTTGTCGGATGGTGTCTGCGGCGGGGAGGCGGTAACACTAGCCCGAGTGGGGCGTGGAGACCGACTAACACAAAGGGCGGAGTTCCGGCCCGCACCCCTCCGCCGCCTGCCGCTTGGTACGTCCCGATTCCCCGCCCTGCAGCTCGCGGAGCCTGGCTGAGCAGCAGGAGGGGCGGGCGCCGGGGGGCGGGGCGGTCACGCCGCCAGTCCCGTGCCCGCGGGAGTCACGTGTCCGCGGGTGTCACGTGCTCGCGTCGCAGCCAATCGCGGGGCGGCCCTGTCCTAGGAGCGAGGAGGCTGTGGTGAGAGACGGACCGAGACCGGAGATGTTTTCAAGCCCGGCCCTGGCGGTGTTACAGGCGGTTGCAGCGGGGACGAAGACAACGACAGCGACGGCCACGCCGAGGCACTCGTTCCGGGGGTGAAGCCTCCTGCGCCGGCCTTGCCTCGGGTCCGTGCGGGTGAGGGGGGCGTGGCGACAGGAAAGGAGGAAGGAGGGGCGCGGTTTCGAGCTTGTCCCCGGCGCCTGGGAGGAGACCCCCTCAGTTCTGCGCTGCTCCCGTTTCCCCACCCCAGAGCAAGGTAGGGGACGCGCCCTGCCCGCCCCACCTGGCCCCGACGCGCAGCCCGCCCAGCCTGGCCCGAGCCGCAGCCCGCCTGACAGTGACAGGCCGTTAGTGCCCCCCGGCGCGGGTCCGCCGGGGCCCCGCCTGCCGCCGCTGCCGCCGCCCCTCCCCGCGTCTTGAGGAGCCGTGGCGCAGGTGGGAGCCGCCAACTGGGCGGGGGCGCCGCGCGGGGCGGGGCGGGGGCCTGGTGGAGGACCGCGAGCTGGCCTGGGCGCGGGCGCCCCTCACCGCGGCTGTCGGGGCTGGGTTGCCGCCGCCTCCCGGAACATGGCGGGGCCGGAGCAGCGTGTGCGTGCGAGTGTGAGTGTGCGCGGCCGAGAGGGCGCCGCTGGCGTGCGGCGGTCGGACCCGCGGGGGCGGGGGCGCGCCTGGCCCGCCGCGCGTTCCCGTGGCCAGCCGCCGGGCGTGCGCCGACGCCGGGGATTCTGCTGGGGCCGCTCGGGCCGGGAGCGTTGGAGGTACCCGGGTCCTGGGAGAGGTGGATGAAAGCAAGAAGGGGAAATTGCTGCTTTAGTAGTGTCCGGGGAAAGAGCTGCCACTCTACAGTTCGGTCTTAAATGTCGGCGTAATCTAACCTTGCCGCATTGGGCAGGCGGTTCATCGTTTTTCAAGTGCGCACTTGAGATGCTTCAAGACCCCTGGAGCACGTCAGGTGCTTAGATCTCGTTTTGAGGAGTGATGTGGAATGACGCATCCTTCCAGATCCCAAAGCGTTGAATCAACGGTTGTACAAAGAGGTATCCGAAGCTTAGCTGACAGCTGTTTTAGTAATAACAGTAAGACGCTGTCTGGGATAGGAAGTTACTGTTGCACTCGTTGAAACCTTAGGAAACATTTAAAGCAGTGTTGTCACAGGGATTGTAATTTCCACTGGACACCCGTGGTTAAACTGCGAACTAAGGTGAAGTGTGTTGCAGATCCAGTGCTGTGTATTGTAATGGTTCGGAATTATCTCTAATCCTAAAGTTGAAATGAGCCTTCATCTTCCGTCATGTATTTCGTTTTCATTTTAGAATGGTTTGTGTAAATTATAAAGAAAGGCTAGTGAAATAGATATTTTAACATAAATTAACTGTTTATTAAAAACATATGCACGGCCGGGTGCGGTGGCTCATGCCTGTAATCCCAGCACTTTGGGAGGCCGAGGTGGGTAGATCACCTGAGGTCAGGAGTTCGAGACCAGCCTGACCAATATAGTGAAACCCCATCTCTACTAAAAATACAAAATTAGCCAGGCGTGCTGGCGCTTGTCTGTAATCCCAGCTACTTGGGAAGCTGAGGCAGGAGATTCGCTTGAACCCAGGCGGCAGAGGTTGCAGTGAGCCGAGATCGTGCCACTGCACTCCAGCCTGGGCAACAAGAGCGAAACTCCTTTTCAAAAACAAACAGAAAAACAAACAAAAAAAACGAAAACATATGCTGAAGTAGGACGTTGAAAATCTTGGGCACAGATCTGAGTTTCTTCAATTGTTATACAAAGCCTTTCCTGGAGATTAGCTCAGAACTGGCCGAACGTATGCTCTATTGGTGCCAAGTGGCTTAAAAGCAAAATGAAATAGTGTCCACTGTGTAAGATGAAGTCGTTATATTAACTAATCTTGTTGAGAAAAATCTTTAATTTGGGTTAAAAGCGAAACCTTTAAAGATTTGAAATATTTTCCCCTGGAGATTATGGACAAGGGGAGATAGGTTTTAGCTTAAGAATCTTTTATTTGATAACAGGCACTGAATACATTTCTGAAGCTCTACAGGCATCTTGGCTAAGGTCAAGTTTAACTCGTTCTGTGTTTTATGTTAGAGATAGACGAGATGTTAAAATGGAAGGAAAATGAGTGTTAAGTGTACTTATGTAGGATACTTTTAATGTTCTTAATCTCATAGTTCTCATAGTAGTTGTTAAGAATTAGTTATTGGAATAGTTTCATGAACTACGCAGAACTGGGAAAGTGGAAATCTCTGGGTGTGTATTCCATGAAGAATATTTTAGGAGTAAAGAGAACAAAAATATTCAGACGAGGAAAGAATTTAGCTGAAAATACATTGTGCAGACTTATACTGGTTTGTTAATACCGAAGGGGGAAAAAAAGCCTGAATTTTATTTGCAGACTAGTGTCCAGCTGGTAGAATGAGTTTAAAAGGAAGATGTTTTTATCAAGCTGTCGATATTACTTTTTCCCTATAGAAGTTGGAAAACATGACTGATACTCTTTTAAAGTAGATTGGAGAAATGGTAGGATATTTGGAAAACACTTCGTTGGAGAAGAGATTTTTATTCTTAAAAAAATATTAAGAGTGGTTGTAAAAGTATTTTGATTTCTTGCTATTAGCTGACACGTAAACTTTTCTTTAAACCATTCTTACGTTTTAATACCATTATTTCAATCCAAAAAGAGGATGGTTAATGGAGTCATTTCCATCCTAGTTCATAAGAGGTTTGTCCTACTACTTTCTGTATTTAGACTTAGTCATGTTAAAGTAACATGTATCACGTGGTCGTGAAGAATTTGTCCAATAATTGCTGTAGGTTGCTTAAGAGCTATTGACACTGCTTTCTAACTTGGAATTTGTTGCTAACAACATGTATTTGTAAAATGCGTGTGCCTTATAAAGGATACAGTGTTGAGATTTATCCTTGGGACTGGAAGGGACCTCTGATTTTCTTATTCGTTTCCTTTATTTTTACACATGAGAAAATGAAGGTGAAAAGACTTAAAGCTAGTCTGCAGCTAGTTAAAAACAACCTGTGGTTTGACCGAGAGGTTTCTTTCTGTGAAGATGCTAATTTGCCTCTTCAGAAGTTTTATGGAGTTGTGGAAAGGACATTGAAATATAAGTGAGAAGGCCTGGGTTTAAATTCTTGATTTATCACTTCCTCACTTCCTAACAATGATTTTTGACATGTCGCATTCACTTTCAGAACCTTGCCTTCTATCAGCTGCAACTTTAAAAATACAATAATAATAATAACCTTGCCTTCTTAACCTGCAAAAGTAATTTTCCTGCATAATTTAATGTTATTCTGTGGAACAAATGAGAACAGAAAGCACATTGTATACTGTAAACTTCTGTACAACGTGGTGATGTTATTTTTAAAGAAAATACAATTGTTAAAGCATAACAAGGTGTTTAAATCCCTGAATTTTTGCATAGCCCTAGCTTTGTTTTCATCTTCTGCTGTTTTACAGATTGTAACTCCTGTAGATACATTTTCTGATCCCCACTTAGTTCTAACCTTAGTTAAGCTGCTTATGAACATTTTAAATATTGCAGTTATTAATCTGACTTTCCCTGGAGAATATGAAGTTTCTTTAGCATTTGAAAATATTCTCATATATACTCATGCATTCATAATCTGTTTCTGTAACAGACAATGGCTTTTTAAAAGTAATAGTGAAAGTAATCTTAGTAGCAATGTTAATTTATTTGACTCTTGCTAGTTTTCAGATACGCAAAAGCAGGAGATGATTTCCTTTAAAAACTCGTCTTTGAATAGTTCATGTTAAGGTTATCTGGTATATCTAAAATATTTAGAAGTGTTAAAAACAGTTTTTGTTTGCCTTTGCTGTTAAGTTTGAAACCTCTTAGTGCTTTAAATTGATAATCCTGGAAACCAACATCAGTATTGTAGTATTACATAGATTATCGGAGTTTTTATAGTCTTGAAAATAAAGCTACTAATAATCATAGATAATATTTGCTGAACACTTAGAATATGCAAATCTCCGTTTTAAGTGAAACATTTTAGGTAATTTTCATAATAACCTTGTAAAATGGAGAGGAAACTGAGGCTGTAAACAGTTATGTGATGTGTAGATTTTACACACTAAATATTAGATTTCATTGTCCTGTTTTATTAACCATTTATCTCCTGTGCCTCTAATTAAGTTGGTTTTCTAAGAGTTTTAAGGCAGGGATTCTTAAATTTCAGATTTCGTGAAAAACGTTTGGGGGACAGCTATTCTACCTTCTTGGTGGTCCAGAAAAAAAAAAAAAAAGAAGTACCTTTATGGGAATCATAGAACATAGGCCAGCAACCCTTTTTATGAGATGCAGATATACTTGTTGCTGTGGTGGTGGTTTTTTATTAGTTGTCAGAGCACATTATTCTTACCAGCTACGGAAAGGGCCATGGTTGTTCATATAATATGAGGCTATCCTAACAAATTCCACCTTTCTATTGATACCATTCTTCTAAAGAGACATTCTTTCGTCACAGTGACTGAAGAAAAAACTAACCAAACTCATTTAGGACTTTCATAAGGGAATAGATCCAGCAATAGAAAATTTGCTGAGTTTGTCCAGCTTAGAAAACAGTATCCAAGATCAGGTTTTCTGATTAGTGCGATCCTCCAAAATTCTAAGAAACTTAAATTCAAACATAAGTCCTTAGAAAATTCAGTTGTAACATGGAGACACTTCCAACTTGAAGGAGGTAGATTATGAAGCTGCAAGTTACAGGGTGGAAGTCATTTCTTTTTCTTTGACTTTAAAAAAATTCTAAAAATTAAAAAAATTGTGTCATCTTTGGCCAATTCCTTAACATCTGTTTATTGGGCTAAAATTGTTTCAAAATATGTAATAGTTTACTTTTCTGGTTATCAGTGTGTATTTAGGCCAGAACTGGGAAAAATAACACAAATGTTAGCGATAAGTACATTTTTAACTACCTTGTGTCTGTTATCTATCTTATTTTGACAATATAAGATTAATAATCTCTAATAATATGCATAGGTTGGGGAATTGTTAACCTTTTAAAATAAATAGGGGGTTTTTTGTTTGTTTGTTTTTGTTTTGTTTTAGAGCCAAGGTCTCACTATGTTGCTCAGACTAGTCTTGGTCTCGAACTCCTGACCTCAAGCAGTCCTCCTGCTTCACCATCCCTAGTAGCTGAGATTACAGGTCTTAGCCACCTTACCTGGATATATAGTCTCTTATTGTAACAATAGCAAAGAGTTGTAATAGACCTCTATAGCTTTTCAGATTTCAGATTGTTCCTCCCACATAGGAGTTTTGTCGGCATTCTGACTTCTAATAGAGAACAAAAACCATTTGTGGCTCTCTCTTCTGCCTAGAAATAGCTATATTGACTCTCAAGATAAAAGAAAAGTAGTACCTTAAAAATTGTAGTGCTTTGTAGTTCACACAGTGCTTTCTACATCTGATTCTCTTTTGAACCTCACAGCTCAGTAAGGCAAAACAAGGATTGTCAGGTAATCTGATGATATTGAGCCATGGATTGAATCCAGGTTAAAATTATCTGGAGTAATGTTAGATTCCTTTGAAATTCACTCATGAAAGAGAAGCATTAGCAAACCTAAAGGAAGAGAAAGGAGAGGCATGCACTTTTATTTTCTCCCACGAAATTCAAATTGTACACAACTTTCTATTCTGTTTACCTCTTCTGAAACAGAGTAGAGGTAAACATTAAAAACATTCCTTGTACAGCTTTAATAATTAGTGGTAATGGGCCAGGCGCCTAGTGGCTCACTAAGGCTGAGGCTGGCAGATCATCTGAGGTCAGGAGTTTGAGACCAGTCTGACTAACATGGTGAAACCCCCTTTACTAAAAAATACAAAAAAATTAGCTGGGCGTGGTGGCGCACCCCTGTAATCCCAGCTACTTGGGAGGCTGAGGCAGGAGAATTGGTTGAACCTGGGAGGTAGAGGTTGCAGTGAGCCAAGATTGAGCCACTG